CTCCAGTTCTTTCTCTTCTATTCTGCTGTCTCCAAGTATTGCAGTGTCCACTATCCAGGCTTTTTTGTCTTTTAAACAATCTTTTAAACAATTGTTAAGTCTGGGGTGTTGTGTGGCAGGTGTTTGTCTTTTTGGATTCTAAAGTCCCATAGCCCTTTAACTTCTTCATGTTTTATTACTTTGTCTGTTTTGTGGTCCCACCAGTTCTTGCTTGCAAGCAAATGATATTTCTTGTAGATATTCCAGTGCACTATTGTTGCTACTTTGTCATGCCATTGTTTGTGCGATCTCCTTGCAGCAGCTAACTCGGTGGTCCACTGTTTCTTCAGCTTCTTCACAGAGGCAGAATTTGCTGTCTGTTGCTGCCTTCTCAATTCTGGCGTTGTATGCATTTGTTCTTAAGGCTTGGTCTTGTGCAGCCAGAATTAGCCCCTCTGTCTCTTACTTCAACCTTCCTGCTCTTAGCCATTGCCAGGTCTTGTTGATATCTGCTTTGCCTGCTAGTTTTTTTGTGTATTGGCCATGTAATAAGTTGCCTTGCCATGTCTCTTTTCTATTCTTCATTTGGTCTTTTCTATTTTCCTATTCTTCATTTGATCATGATTGTTGTTATGTTATTGCTATGCTAGGTAGTTATGATCTGCAGTTATAACAATAAACATACATCCCAGAATCCTTTACAAGCCATTTGGATTCTGCTGCAGATCCACAGCCATCTTTTCCAGATGAATCAATGAGAAAAGATTCCCTGGAGAGAAAAGGAGGGAAAAAACTAATCCACCATAAACATACCTGCTTCCTTGAGAGCGTTTCTCATTTCATGTGCATCTATGGTTCCAGAATAGTCAGTATCTACTTTCTTATATATTTCCTAAACCAAAGAAAAGAGAGAGGCTACTGTCAGCAATTTTAGCCCAATTGTAGATACTGTATATCAGGTCAGTAAAGGTATTAATGGCTGCTCCTACCAAATAGGAGAGATTGTTGCCTCTGAAAGTGTTAAGACTGAATGGTGGAGTGAGGATTCAATTAACTCATGACAAGCTATGTGTCCTGGGAAAGTATTCCCATAAGGCAAGCTGCTTGCCAAGTCAGATGGTGAAGTGGCCTTTGAAAAATAACTCCCTTCTCTGCCAAAGGCTGTGATGTGGAACTGAGGGAAATACTTGAAAGGAACAACAGACAACTTTTTTTTTTTTTGGCCAAACAGTTTCTTATCCAGCTTTAACTATACGTTTAAAAGCTATTCTGACCTGTAACTTGGTAGGACATTTTGCATTGGTGTAATAAACCATTCGCATAATTACTGATGAAGTTGTGAGAATGGCTGTCCTACCAAAGTTTCACAAGACGTAACCAAGTCGTCAGTTGATCTGCAGAATTAGCAACACAGATAATTTTCTCTGGACCCTGCCCCCTCCTCTTGCTGAACTAAGTGTCAGATATAGGACAACTCTATTGGAGTTTATAAGGTTTTATTCATAGTATGAATAAAATGCATATCTCAGAGCTACATGTATATCTCAAAGCTACAGAGAGATGCTTTACTGCTCTTCAACTTATTTCTTTTCAGTTTAAGTAATAGGACATGATATTTTGGAAGGATTAGTTTTTACCAGATATTTCTGAATCTTCATCCAAAGGATCTTGAATTCTACAAGTCCCAAGGTACCAGTTCCATGGTTCTGGATAGTGTGTTAAGGTTGAATTCAAGATTTAATATAATTTTTATTAAAGGTTTTAAAAGCAATAATAAGAACTAATACAAACTAAATTAAAACAGAAAAAACAAAAAAAGGAAAGAAATAACACAAAAAGGTAAAAGTGTAATAAGAAGAGAAAATAGAAGAAAATAGAAAAAAGATGTACAGAAAGATATAAAGAAGTAGCTTAAAATATTATTCACAGCAATTATAAGTACAGTTATATTTTAACCTCTCTCTCTAAAGTTACATCATGACTCTCTTCTTTCTATAATTTATCCTGTCTAATCATCAAAACCATAAATCACAAATTCATTGGTATATTTCAAGATTTCAAGCACATTTTTTCTTAAACAGCAAGAAGTTCTGATCCCGATAAAAATACATGGCTCATGTATACACATGAATCTATAGTTTCACTAAATACAAGGTAACATGCCTGCTGTTTTTAATTTGTTTAGATAAAAGTGGGTTGATCAGGCCTTGACTCAATTTGAAAAAAATGATTATAGTGTTGTAGAACCACCTAGATCATAATTTTTGGACGGTAAGAACCAACCACTTCCTGAAAATCTTTTGGTAAAAGACAAAAGTTATAATCTACTTTCTAAGTGCTCAAATCCATATGGAAATTATCAGATTGAAAAACTGGTTTAGGAGAAATGATTAAGACTGTTACAATTCCGATGTCAAATATAGCAAGTGAATAACCCTATTAGAACTCATGGCAAAAAACTGACCCAGGGCCATATGTTGGGTCTGCTGCATAACAACTTTACTTCACAATGAGCAAAGACAATCTCAGTTCTTCAGGATTTGTATGTATGTGTGTGTGTTCTGTAGTTATTTAATTGCACAAAGAGCTTTAGAGTCTTGGGTTCAACACCCAGCTTAACCAGTGAACAAACACTCTAAGTTTGAGAAGAGGCATCACTAGAACTACCCATAAAATAACAAACAGGCATTCAGACAATAGAGGGATATGCTCTGCCTAAAAGATCAATAAATGATGTCAAGGGAGGACAGAGAATCATGAACATTGGAAGAGGGAAGTAAAGATAGTCTTCATCAATATCATCCAATTTATGTACTAATTTCTGATGGGTGTGGCTCACAGTGTAGTTGCCATGAGAAGAGCCTTCCCAGGAATAGTACCTCAGTTAAAGTACTTTTTCCCAAGGGAAATAGGATTGACCCCATTGCTGTCTTATTTTGTACGGCAACTGAAGTCATACTTCTTACTAGTCATCTGTAGGATAACAACTGTTCCAGGACCAGCCTGTTTTTTTCAAACATGAACTTTCTTTTCGTGTTTGCATTTGCATTTTTATTATTTATTTTATTTTCTTTATCTTTTAGGATTGGCTTTTATTATTGATGGCTTTATTTAATTAGTTTTATTGAAGATTGTTTTTTATCCTTTGTACAGCACTCCAGGCTCCTTCTTAGGAGGAAGAGCATACACAAATTAATGAATGAAGATATTCATCCATTACTGCATCTAGCAACAGAGTTTTGTGACATTTTAAAGAGATGACAGTCAGAAGCCAGAGATTGTCCATGTGAATGGAGCAGCAATAATGTCTTCCACTTTATCTGTTTCAATTCTCTGAAAAATTATCATCTCTCTCCAGAGGGACAAGGAGAAGAAAAGGGATTTGCTCATAACTAGATGACCAGAAGGAAGAAGGCATGCCAAATAGCATGCTTTGATAGAAATCTTATAGTTAAAAGGGAGAATAGCTTAAGTGGAGTGCAAGAAGTGAGAAGAGTTGGGAGATGCTAAGGATAGGATGAATGGAGGTTTGGTTTCCATAGACATTTTAAAAAACAGTTAAGAATCCTAGTGGTAAAGCAGGCTAGACTTTTTGGGATTATTTGGGGGAGTGTGAAGTTATCATTTGTGCAACATTTCCATATAAGGAAATCTCCCTGCAGTTCAAAGATTAGACCCTTTGCCCACTTGAATTTTGAAGTGGAACAGTGCATGTGATTATCTTAACTGAATACCACTTCTTTCTGTTGCATATATAAACCAGGTTATAGTAGGCAGTAGATAAATAAAAAGTTTAGAAGTGAGATTTTGAAATTTCCAGTTGGTACACCAAACCCATTCTCATAAATTCCTGCTGAGTGGAGATTTGAAGAACTTAGGTATCCAATTCCAGTATTTGTTCAATGGAAACATTTCATTAAACAATAAAAGTTATGCCTCTAGATCACAGTTTGCTCTCTCTTCCAGCTCTTTCTATGGCTTTCTACCAACCAATTGGCTAATTCACTTTAGCATGTTAACATATTCCATTCTTAATTATACTCCTATGAAAGAATATGACATCTTATTTTCTCCATTTTTTCTGAAACATGTGGATTGGTAGGAATGGTTCTGGAATAATAGTTTATCATCTCCTTATGATTTTCCAGATTTCTCTGTATATTTTTATTATGTACACACAAAAGGCTATATATGCCATGATCTGATTAAAATTTCATTTAGATTAGGCACAACAACTACAGTTAATGCCTAAGAGATGATTGCATAATTCAGGCAGAGCATGAACACAAGTCAGCAAGAAGACAACCATGCTACTGATAATAAAGGGTTACTATCTTTGCTACTAGGCTGTTTAAATCACCATTCTACTCTACATTTTATGCCAACAGCAAATGAAGACAGAGGCACCAGAAATGAGACACGTAAATCTTGCCTTATCTAGACAAAAGTTTCACAAGGGAAATACAGTAGAGAAGGGTGACATTTAAAAGATACATCTAAGAGACTGATCATTTCCCTGCAGGTGTTTATGTTGAATCCATCACTTTTAATGTCTGTTCCTATACAATAAAAGAGACAAAAATGTTATTCAAATATTTATCTGCATCCGATGGAAACACAAGATCTTCAAGCATGTTAATCTCTCCAGTTGAAGCAAAAAAAAAAAAGTTCTTTATTTTTGTTAGATCATTCTGAAGAAAACTAAATATCTTTCAGAAGGAAGATCATGTGAATACTGGTGTCAAGACACAGTTACCTAGCAAGTTCCCATTTCATCACAAAAAGTTTTTAATGAACATTATTTTCAGTAATTTTAACAAAAGCAAAAGAAATTTGATTGAAAATGTGACCTAGAAAAGCTTTAAATATTGTGTGTGTGTGTATACGCGCACACACACACACACACACACACACAAGCTTGCTTGCTTGCCACACAAGCTCAGACATTTAGAGGGACCAGATTGGGTATATGCATTCCAATGGCTGAGATATGGCTTTTTGTCACATGCACAGACATCCCAGCCCCTCCCAATTCTAGATATAGAAAAAGGGTTTGGTTCTTTAAAGAGAAGCAGAAGCTGTGCACTGAACCTGGAAAACAGTTCTATATCCCTGGTAGCCTCAGAATTAATTCACTGGAATCCCAGAAAGTAAAAAGTCCAGGAAAAGTGAAATAGAAGAACAGATGTTTTGGGAAGCATTATTTTGAAGGAAACAGATAACCAGGAATTTGTATTAGATTATGATGATTAATATATCCAATTTCAAGGCTGTCCAGCTCCTTGACTTTGGGCAGCTTACAAATAAAAAAGAAACATTACATTTAGAAATAGAACATTTTTTTTTAACTTTCTTTTTCTATATGGTACTAATTATCCCTATTTCTCTGTACAAAGTAGGAAACTCTGTTTTATGTTAGCCTTACAGCATACTTCAGAATGTGCATAAGGATATTTTCTTTAAAATCTCTCATGATCTGTAATATTCATTTGGAATTTTTTTTAATTGGGTTGCTGTCTCTGGTAATCTGAACAGCTCTGTAACCAATCCACCTCACTATTACGTTTGCAGTTTGGATATTTAAAGTGGAAAGGGGGGAAGGGATGCTACATTTTGTGTCTTTTTTTTAAAAAAAAATAAAATTTGGTTTTGTTTATTTCTTGTGAGATTGGTCTGTTTCCCACAGAAGGGCTGAATTCTCTAGCCACATACCATTAAGCAACATAGCCAGGAGGTTATGTTATAGATATTATTTCCTTCTTTTAAAAAAAAGTTTACCTTGTAATCACCAGAAAGTGTAACGGGAACTAGGGATAACTTTGAGGAGCAGGAGGAAAAGCCACAACCAAGACAAGGTCAGACAGAAGAAATTCAAGTCCAAGGCATAAATGTAATTTGGGAAAGCATTCCAGACTTGACCCTCCCTAGTTCTCACAAAGAGGGAGGGAGGGAGGGTATTCAGACTTGCAAGATTCTGTTACTTAATGTTACCAATAATAACAGTAGTATTAGCATTCATAACTTTGGTTTTCTAGTCTGGTCTACCTTGAAGGGCTGACAGACAGAATAGCATGCAAGCATCCCACACGCTAGGGTTAGGAAGAAGAAGCCAGAGGAGCTGTCCCCAGAAGATAGGTGGTAACAGCAGGAACCACCAAGCTGCAACTCCAAGCGGTAGGGCCAAGGTATAAAGACCAGGAGGACTTCCAGGTTTCTACCCTACAGGCCCAACGGTTTCTGCTGAAAATGCAAACAAATATGACAGTTGTCTTCATGCTTATTGGCACCCAGATCATAACTGTGCCTGCTATTATTATTACTAGCATTGTTATTAACACTTTATGATATAGCTTTAAAAAAACCCATTTGTAAGTGAATTTAAACTCTCACCAAGGACAGTGAAAACTTAAATTCAAATAGAATTTACACTGTTATGCAAGAATTAAAAATGCTGTGAGTGGCAACTCAACATCCAATTCTTTGTATCAGTGCCTTGTGGCTGTGTGTGTACATTCCTTATATGTATTTTATTTTGAAATGTCACTTTTTTTTCTTTTGTAAACAAATTGCATGTTTGTCCAGAAATCAGCTGGCTCCATGGTAGCTTTGAGACTTGCTCTTGATGGGATCGCACTTCCTCAGAAGAAGCATGTCTGTGATATGAGGGGTTCTCTTGGACTCACAGCTTCTGCTAGAGAAAATGGCAAGAAAAACCTTTGCCCAGATTCATCCAGCTGTGCACTGGATGAAACCATTCCTAGAGCAAGATATTCTGGCAACACTCATTTAGGCCATCAGCTTACATTTGGATACCGTAATACACTCTGCAGTGACTGCCTCTGAAAACTATTCAGAAAGTGCCATTGGTGCAAAATGAGTTGCTTGCTTCCTGGGAGGAAGAATCGTTTCAGGAGAACAGCCCCTGGTTTGCAGTTATTGAACTGCCTCCCAATAAGCATTCAGGATGCTGATGATTACCTATAATGCCCTTTATAGCCCAGGTCCTTATTATTTTGGGTGCTGTCTTTTTCAAGTATAGTCTGCCTATCCTGTGCATTCAACTCAGGAGGGCGTGCTTTTGATTCCTTCTCCTCTGAAGTTTGGACACAAGCTCAGAGGCAGACTTTCTCAGAGGCTATTCCAGCCATCTGGAATAGCCTCCCTCCTCAGTTTAGGATGCTCCCCTCCTTGTTCTCTTTTCAGAAAGAGAGTAAATTGTAGGATCATAGCAGGAATGATTGGAAGGGACCTTGGAGATCATCTAGTCCAAGCCCTTGCACAGTGTAGGAATCCCCTACAACAGCAAGACACTACTAAAACAATGGGGTATTTGGAATGCAGAGTGTGATTCATGGATGCTATGCTTTCATCTGGATTTTAAAAAAAATACACTGTGGTTATAATCTGGTATTATTTGTTTCTATGATTTAGTGGTGCTATTTTCATGACTGTAAGCTGTCCAGAGAATGTGACAGGGGCAGCATAAAAATGTGTGAAACAAACAAATATTCTTGTTGGTAGCAAGATGAAGCAGAGTTTTATCATATGGATAACAGTCCATTGGAATTTCATGTTATTTAGTTTGGTATTTGGCTATAATCTCAGAATTCATTTCACACAAATATACTGGGGGTGGGGGTAATACTGACAAACTGTTTAGAGGCTAAATGTTCTTTATTTGATTGAACGTGCTGTGCTCCTTTAGGGCTTCCATTGCCACAACTTGTGGTAGCTCAGATACAAGGATGCCAAGTAGAGTGATTAAGAATAATTGACAGCAGGAAGATTGGGACAAGCTAGTTAAGCATTCCTATCATTATTATTGGTATCAATAAATATTTTACAGTTTGGGTTCAGCACCATGGAGAGAAACACTATAGCCAAGAAACAAAATAACTTCATACTGGTCTGGAGCTACTAGTAGGGTTTTATACTATAATCTAATCAGAAAGTTCTTCTAAAGTCCTATGTCACATTTTAAAAGGCCAGAGTCTTAATGGGTCATTTTAGACTCTTTAGAGTCAGAAAGGATGCTTGAGGGATCAGGGAGTGGTTCTGCCTCATTCTGGGAGGTTCTGCCATTATTTTCTGAAATTAGTTGCAACTTACTTTTTGTTATGACTCTATTCAAAATAGTCTGAAGTTCATTTGCAGTAATTTCACAATCCTGCATAAAAGAGGGAAAGTAGAGATTGAGGAGACATACACACAATAAAAAGAGACATAACCATGGCCACGAAACCCTTATCCTTTGGTTAAATTTCAATTTGAAACAATACCACAAGGAAGATTCTGTAGTGCAGCCAGAATCAAGCTTTACTTCAGTAATACTCCCAAATCCAGTTCTTTGCAGCTAGGATTCATTAATTAAAATGGGATTAGTTCAAATATTTGTGGATCCTTCTAGACAGAATAGCTAGAGATTTCATGAACAAAGGAATGCTTTATTTCTGTGGATAATTACGCAATTGGATGAATGCATGCAGACTTCTTGCCGTGAAGAAGATGTCACACTCACATTACTTATGGGAGTAGCCCCATATGCATATTCGCAAGGGATATGTATATTTGCAAGGGAAGGCTGTTTCAACAGCCTTGGCTTACTGGAGATTGGTATTGGTGTTGGTGCTACATTGATATGTCTCTCACCCACAGACCACTCACTGGTCTAATATGTCAATTAAAAATTAGGAAAAAAAATTATTTCTGCATTGTTCTTTTTCTCTGCTCCAAATTTCTCCCTCGCCCCTTATCTCTTTCCCTAAGGTGGAAGCTTCAAATGCATATTTCCAAGGCATGTGACAAAGAAAAAAAAAATCAGAAACAGTGCAAATATTGATGAACAAAGGAAATATTGATCAACAAACAACAGAACAAACTGGACTTAAGAAATCATCATCAGAGAAAAGATTAATCCTCTCTACTATAATTTCCTTGGTCCAAATGCTCTCTCCTGAAGTTAATTCTGTCATTAAAAAATACAATAGCTGATAGGCTAATATGTCATGTAACAATCTGGCAGAATTCTGCTCAGGCAGGATGACAGAGGACCACCAAGAGATGAGTGGGTGTCAGGAAGACCATGTCTAGTGGATGATTAAAGGGGGTGGTTTGGAGTGCAGTTGAATGCTGTACTAATGGGATTAGAGACTTGAAGTTATGGTCCTTCAGGATAGTACCCTATATGATAAGTGCATTAGCTACCATTTACTTCCAAGTGCAGTTCAAGCTGCTGGTTATCATTGTTATCAATGTTATCAATGCTCAGGGCCTGGCTGTCTTAGAGGTGGCTTATCCCAAATAAATTCTGCCTGGCAAATCAGATGAATGGAGGGGGCCTGCTAAAGGTCCCCTCCAAACAGGAGTTATGAAAAGAGAGATATGGAGGAAGGCATTCTCAGTGACTGCTCCCCTACTTTGACACAACTTGCACCCCAAGGAAAGAATGGTCCCAGTCTTACAGTCATTCAGAGAACAGTTAAGACCTGGCTATACCAGATGGCCTCTGGAGATGAAGCAGCTGAAAAAGGAATTTCATCACTGGTGATATTGTTGCTATTATACTGTTTTGTGGTTTATTTTGTATTTTATTGTATGATTATTTGTACTGCATGTTGATCCTATTTGTACACCATCTAGAGCAGGGTTCCTCAACCTAAGTCTTAAAGTTGCCATCTAGAGCCTCTGGAGTGAGGCAGTTGATAAATCTTATCATTCGATAAATAAATGTGATCATTCTGACCACATAGCCCTTTGGACATAGAGGCAGAAAAGGTGCTTCAGAGCACAGAAGTTGCCTGCATCTCCTTGAACCAAACACACATTTTCACAGGATTGTGCTGCAGCTGCAGTGGGCACCCAGAAAGGGTGCAACTGCTTTAAAGAGTATCAGAGAGGCACTATAAGCCTTCCCCCACATACCCCAAAGTGTAAAATCAACTCTTTATCTAATCTTGAATATTCATTTATACCTTTAATTCCCGCTTACCTCCCCAGAAAGCTTTTGGAACAGACTTTTGAATTCGTCGTCTATATCCTTGCCTGTAACATGAGGCTAAAAGGGAAGAGATTGTAAATAGCATACTTTTACTAAGCAAGGCGGAGCTTCTAGTGAAGACTCCTGGGGCATTTTGACTAAGCAGGTAGCTTGCAGGAAATACATTCTCCAAGAGTATATGCCATAACAACACTAGCTGTAACAGCCCAATCTGACTTCTATGACATATTCTGTATAGCTGGATTCCTCAACCTCAGCAACTATAAGATGGGTGGACTTCAACTCCCAGAATTCCCCAGACAGCACGGCTGGCTGGGGAATTCTAGGAGTTGAAGTCCACCCATCCTAAAGTTGTCAAGGTTGAGAAACCCTGTTGTATGGTACATTTTAGCTTATACCTAGCTTTGTTAATGTCTGGGCAGCCTATTTGATCTCTCTTCTATTTTCCATCCATTGGAGTATTTCAGTAAGGAGGGAAAACTAAACTGTGAAAAGTGATCTATAATTCCAAAAATTATTTGCTATGAAATCCCATCAAGCAGGTTTCTCAAAATTTGTGGTGTCAATATAATTTTTGTGAAAACCGACCCACATAATTATTGATGGCAGCAGCCAAGCAAGCATGCCATTTTTATCAGCGGCTTCCCAAAGTGGTAAGCTTGGCACCATCTCCTCTTCCTGGCTCTGAAGCACCCCACCCAGGCCTGCCCCGCTTTTCCCTTTCAGCCATGAACCATGCATGGACCATGCATGGACCAGTTCCTATATCCCCACGAGTCAGAAGTATTCAGATTCTATGGTCTCTTCCCACCTGCCTCGCAACACTTATGGACACCCAGAAATTTGTGATTCCTCCCCCTCAAATTTGTTCACTCCCTCCCCCCAGGTGCAGGACCCACCAGAAAGTTTTGAAAACAACACTTGTTGCAATCTAACACCATTTCTTTACCTCGGAGAAATGCAAGTCTGCCGACATCTCTCACACTCTTACTGAAAACAAAGCTAGGGCAGACATGTTTTAATGCCAGCCTTTTAATCTCCCAGTTTCCTTTTCTAATAAAGAGTTCTTAGACATGTGAAACATATACACTATTTGGTAAACTTTCAGTTTGCCTGATAATGGGATTACTTTTATATGGATTTCAAAGTAAATATGTTAATTTGATTCTGCTTAATTTACTTACCTCATATGGATTAGCAGTGACAGTGTCCCCAATTTCTCTATAATTAAAGAAAAACATTGCAATTATGGTGGTTTATAGCTTCAAAAGGCAATACAATTAAACAAAAACAAGCTACAAAAATATAAACTTGTACTACTTGAAATATAAGCAATCATTTTCAAAGCCAGTTTAAAAGAATAGCAGAATGACGGGGGAATGCTCGTTAAAATAACCCATGTGTGGCTCTCCCCAAACAGGGTTGGTCTGTAATCTGGGGGTACTCCTGGATCCATGCCTCTTGTTTGAAGAGCAGGTGACAGCCTTGGCTAGGAGGGCCTTTGTGCCATTTATGGCCTTTTTCTGGGTTGGGATTGCTTACTGTATGCATGCCTTGGTCACTTCCCATTTGGATTACTGCAATGTGCTCTTCATGGGGCTGCCTTTGAAGACCATCCAGAAACTTCAGATAGTCCAGAATGCAGCATTTCAAGCAATTATGGCCACCTGTGAACCCTCTGTATTGATTGAGAACTGCCAATTTGTTTCCTGGTGTAATCCAAAGTGCCGTTGGTCACTTTTAAAGCCCTTCATGTTCAGGACTTGGGCATCTATGGGACTGCCTTCTCCCAGAGATCTCTGCTCATCAGCTACGTCCTGACCCTCAGGAAATGTCATCTGCAAGCACCCCAGAGAAGGGCCTTTTCCATTACTGCTCTCCTTCTCTGGAACACCATTCCCCTGATATCAGACAAGCCCCAACTTGGTTAGCTTGTCAGAAAGGATTTAAGACCTAGTTGTTCAGTAGGTCTTTGAGGTCTGAGAGGTTGCATTTGTTTCCTTCCTGGAGGGTGAATGTTTATATTGATGATTGTTCCCTTGTGTCTGAATATTTGAAATTGTTGGTGTTTCTGGTTCTTAATCCTATTACTATCTGGAGGTCTGGAGGCCACTCAGAATCATATAACTACCACATAAATCTAATTAAGCAAGCAAGCAAGCAAATAAGCTGAAAGACACCATCTAAAATGCATCAGAGAGCCCTGAAAATATTCTAGAAGTGCTGTACTGCCTTGTTTCTTGCCTGACCACAAAGCTGAATGAGGGAAAATAGGAACTGAAAACACCCCATCCTTTCCCAAAAGAAGGCAGCAGGATGAGGAAGACTGCCAAAGATTCCTGCAATGTTGCCTTCTCCTGTATATATTTGCCTGAACTTAAGTTTCTTTTTGGATGCCTTTCATGAGGCTCTTCAAAGTGAAGATGACCAACAAAAGGACTTTCTCAGTGATCGCAACCTAATTGTGGGCAAGCCTCCTAAGTGAGAATCACCTGGCATTTCCTACAGGGTCATTTTAGTGCCTTAAACTCTGACTTTGTTTATGATCTTGGAATCTGAATTGTTATAAATGTGTATATTTAGTACAGTGTATTTGGTTTAAGGTCTTTACTGGATTTTTTTTCCAGTGCTATAATTGTTTTAATTATATTTTTGCTATTGTATTTTGTTCCTTTTATTTTTGTGAGTCATCCTGAAAACTATGGATATAAATACCTTTAAAAAATAAAAATAACAGCCATTGTCAAATTGTATCATTCTTACTTAATACTAGTGTGCTCAACTGCCTATGTTTGCCTTTCTTGCTACCTATAATTTCCACCTAAATATAGACTTAACTTTCACTCTAGTCTGAAAAATAACCGAAAAGCAGCCTACACCCAGATAAGCAGGGATTAACCCCTGATAAATAATCAAGCAGAAAATGATACCCTAATCAAAGAGCACCTCTTCTCCAGGAGCCTACGCCCAGATAAGCAGGAATTAACACTAGACAAACAATCAAGCAGAAAACAATACCCCAATCAAGGAACTACAAAAGAGAAAACCACTCTCCTGCCAGCACTGGCAGGGAGCAAACCTCACACTCACTAGCACTGATGATGTTACCTAGTTGGGTAATGAAACATCTGCAAGCAAACAACCAAGCTCAGAGAGCACCAAGGACTCCACTTTAGAGCTCTCTCCTCTCACGTCTCTCCAACTCAATTTACCATCACATTTCCTACAGATCAGAGTTGTCTTTGCTTTATGCTCCCCTGGTTCTCAGCCTTTTTTGGCTCCCTCACCTCTTTCCTTATAATTCATTCTGCTTCTTTTATCATCTCTCTACCCCAAACTGTTCCAACTGTGAAGATGGATGAAGTTCTCTATGGAAGGGATGGGAAAAGGGAGAATTAAGACTGAAAGAAAGGGATACTTTAGTAACATTAAATTCCTTGTGGATCCGTTTTATATTTGTATATATTAATAGACTGAGAATTATCATTGCCCAACTCTCAGGTTCACTCCACCAACTTCACATATAGCTTTTTATTTTATAGCTGTAATCACTTGATCAAAAAACTTGATTAAATAGCCTTCATTCTGGAATGCAGGAATTGGGATCCTGTGATCCTCTAGATAACTCAGATGACAAATCCCACCATTTAGACTGCTGGCCATACTGGCTAGACCTCATGGGAATTAGAATTCAATTATATCTGGGAGACCACAGATTCACCACTCCCTTCCAAATGCACACATATTAAATAACTTCCATACAAAATGGCATGACACCTTTTGGCATGTGGTGGTAGAAGATACATACTGAGCTTTAGCCTGTTTCTCAGAGAAGATCCTAAGGCAGAACTGTCCATCTTTGAAAGGCTGAAAGGTGGATGGCACAATAAGATATTCTCCCTGTGGCACATGGAAGCGATTTGATACTTCACGCAAGTTGACATATGGGTCTGAGTGAGCTACAGATCTGTTTGTTGAGAAGAACTCTCTGCTTAGATGAACATCAGTTTGATTTCCTAACTAATGAGAAAAAAACAGTAAGAATGAAAACATGAATTGCACATAGGTACCAAAATAGAGAGCGTGACAAATATTCCTTTCAAGCAGGTGCATAACTCATGCATGCTAGGATTTCATTTACCTAACTCTGTCCTGCCCAACATATACTGGCATACTGGGCAGGGCTTTGGCTTCATCTTGCATATTTACCTTACTGGACCTCAAGGATGATTCATTAAAGCTGAACATGACTGCAGGTTGAAAATGTTGCTGCCTCTTTCTTTTGGTTAGCAAACTGAATTCAACATAGAACTTAAATCTAACCCTGATCAAATGTAGCCAAGATCATATTATAGAAATCTTTCCTGGAGAACGTTTGGATGGTAGGAGTATTAGACCTGGGCTATGGAAATTTATATGACCAGATAGCAGCAAATGCTCTTCTGTGTCTGTTTACTGCCATCTAGCGGTTATCCAGATTTTTGTACGCTAGATCTGGTAGCTCTAAGATGGCTTCCATATTTTCAAGATTAAGATTATAAACAAAAACATATCTACATATCTATCTGGTTGGGATTTTGAGTGGGATTTTGTTCTTTCAGTTGACACTGTTATTGGTTGGTATATATGTTTTTCTCTCAGGCTTTTGACTGTTATACACTGGTCCTACTATTGTCTTGCATACCATTCTGGTCTCTTCTAAGAAAAAAAAGCAGTTCATTATCATTATTGGTAATAACAATACTGAAATCAAGTAAATGTTTTATATTTGGCTGTGTTGTTTTGGCCAGCTCTAACTAGCATATCGTTGGCCTTGAAATATTTCACAGTATTTGTTTCTGCACTATTTTTCTTTGCCATCAACCAATCATTTTCTTCTTACAGAATGATGAATGGGAACACACTGTGGGTTTATAGAAAATGTGAGCTGATTTGCAGACTGCAGAAATACTTTCTCTTGTGAAAATGTCAAAAGAGCCATTTTTCAAAGCTGATTTTTCTGACACTCTTTCCCTTGACTTAAATGGTCATCCACTCACTGAGCTTATACCATATGAGTTTTTGTGTAGCAGATAATACAAATCTGTTCCAACAGCATGCATGAGTTATAAAGCAAATTAGCTGCTCCACATTGAACAAAGACATGAAAATCAAGCAAACAATGTTTAAAAATTACCTTTACTACCTAAGTTTGCTTTCTGAAGAATGACTCATTAAGGCAGTCATGCAAACCAGGTGGAACTTGTTTAAAAACAGGGTGTGTTCCATTATCTACTGATAGGATATCTGTTAACTACCAGTGCCACATAACCACCCCATTTGATACATTGATCATGGGGGTCCTTAGGATCTAATGAAGCATGGTAGTGAGGTACTACTTTTGTCATTTTGGCCCCCCCTTGTCCCCCACCCCTGCAGATACTACTGCATTAGGCATTTAAATTACACATAACATTCTATGCTACTTTATGTGTTACACCTTTTTGACATAATCATAATACAGAGTATGTTTACCATGCATTTCTGGTATGCTATACAGAGCTAGTGCATAACTGGTATAAAGCAAAGTTTTTACTTTTTCTTCTAGAGCAAATCAGTCCTTTTTCCCATCTCTTCCACTCAGTCAGGAATAAAAATGCTTTAGAGAGAAAGGTTAAGAAAATGGTTGCCTACATAACTTTATGTTGTACTTTCTGCACTGTTAGATATGCAATATAATGGTAAACTGGTTTAATAATCTGAAGAGCTTTACAAACCATATTTCATATTTTCCCAAGAAATATTAATTGTTCCCATATATCACCCAGTCAATTGTCAGTTTGGAAGCATCAACATTTAAGAAGATGATAAAAATATTCAGTCCAAAAGGAGTAGCCATTTTTCATGATTCAGATTTCCAAAATAGTGTTACCTCTTTGGGCACCTGCAAGACATAGAAAGTGATCAGTTGAAAGATAAAAGTATTGCTCTTATCACAAACAGCCAAATGATAAATAAAAAAACCCACTCCATGTAATACAGCATTTTCTAATCTGCTGCTCTCCAGGTGTGTTAGACTTCAATTTCTATAATCTCCCAAAGTATGACCATGGACTATCGGAACTGAAAATCAATACATTTGGGGGATGGCAGTTTGGGGTATTTGAGAAGTTGAATATTTGTATGCCTAATGACTATTATATGTTGGATATTGGGCCACTTTTAATACTTTTTTTTTGCCATACAAATTCTGTACTCTAATTAGAAAATCCAGTAATGTGCTTGAATCTAAAATCCAACCATACTCAACTGAAGAACATCAATGTTCTTCCAGTTATTGCTTTCCAGTCTACCTGTGTACTTCTCTATTCTTCCATAGTGCTAAATCAATAATTGTGAATATTGTGGTAACAAATCACTAGGGAAGTGACTACAAGCCTCACTGAATAAACCATTTAAAAACAGTTTCTTACTAAGTCTGTCTAGTCTAATCTTGCCTTTGATTTTTTAAAAATTATGTAATTACTATATAAAGTTGGTTCAATTGTAACTTAAATAATGTAGTTCATAGTTTTATTCAGGATTTTGCTTTTTCCACAAAACACTTTCTGTTGTCTCAGGTATATATTTTTGTCTTCCTCTTGCATATAATTATGCATGGAAGAAAGAACAATTTTTTTCCAAGTCTCTGACATAGGTATATAATTTATTTTTCATGTGGGAAGACGTACACTATCTATGAAGTAAAATACTGTTATTTGTTGATCATTCAGCCATACAATCGGTCCTAGTTATGTAAGTATGCAATCACAAAAACTGCTTATCCAGTAGAAATACTGGTTTTGTTCTCGGCTTATCACTTTCAGTTAAAAAAGAGCCTTGCATCATTTTTGTTTCCAAACTACTTGGCATGTAACAGAAGCTGGATCCACTATCAAAGAACATAATTGTCATCCTCAAATGTTCTGCCCTAACCATGTGGCATAGACTCACTGGTAATATTCTGTGCCTTGGCTTGGAATCCCCAGTTTTCAGGTTTGATAGGATACTATTGTCTAATAGATCTTGGGAAAGTGGAGAAAGAAACAGGACCATTACAGGAAAGACAACCTCAGCCCGGGGGAAGAGGGAAGCATGAAAAAATGACTTAAAGTAACTCTGCCTTAATTATGCAAGGCATAATAAACTCAGGAAAGAAAACCCAGCTGGATTTATTGCTCACAGGGATAGTGATTGTCATGAAAAAGAAGAGAACATCTACTATCCCCACAATGTGTTAGAGCAGGGTTCCTCAACCTCAGCAACTTTAAGATGGTTGGACTTCAGCATGGCTGACTGGGGAATTCTGGGAGTTGAAGTCACCCACCTTAAAGTTGCTGAGGTTGAGGAACCCTGCGTTAGAGCATATGTTCTGCCAGCAATCCTCAGAAATCTTAAGTGTAATCCATACTAGTGCCCAATCTACTTCCACTGAATACTCTGGTGGCCAATGCATGGAAGGCTCACGTTGGGCTCCATCTCTTTCTTCCTTTCTTCACCTGTTCAGCTCTCTATCTGTCCATCTGAAAGAGAGTTGTACCCACAATTGCTTGTAACCAAGTACTGTTCTCTGTGTGACCTGCAACATTACTTTATTGGGATACTTGACAGCAGAGAGAGAGAGAGAGACTCTTGTCCAGGCCATCCCAAGTACATTGCCATTTGAGATCTCTAGCTAAATGCTTGGAGATTGGGAAGAACTGGGTACAGCACATATTCTCTGTTTAGTGTGAAACCCTCTATACTTTTCATCCAAATGCCTGAATAGGGCATAAGACATTACAGCCTGCCATCTGCTATAGGTAAATTATCTGTAGATAAATTTTGCCTTAGCATAATATGTGAAGCCATTCTTTATGTCACAACACATTGAGAACCACAGCATATAGTTTGTTCAACAAGCCTTTCTTTAAAAATACTAGCTTAGCATTACATACAACTACTCATTGTTCATCTTTTTGCAAATGAACAGGTGAGTGAGCTAAGCTCTGAGGAATATGTGTCAGGAAATTGTATGAGAGTGAATGTGAGGAAGGTTGGATCTGTGAATGACAGGAGTGAGACACACCAAGTAAAAAGTATGTTTAGTGAAAAAAGGATACGCAGGTGTCTCTTCCTTTGTGAAAGTGAGCAGGAATGCACCAGTCTAGGCACCAGCAGTCCAGACCTGGCACCGTGGCCATCTCAAGCCACCTTAACTGGCATGTTGACCAGAATCCTTTTTGGCTTTTGGGACAAAAGTGCCTATGTCCTAGGAAGTAAAATAACAAGAACCTGATAAAGGGAGTAGCCGATGCTGAGCAGCCCTTCCCCCATCCTCTTCTGTCGCCTGCGATTTTTCTGCATCAAACCTACTAACACCGTGCAGCAGGGCTCACTTGCACTTTCTTCCTGATCATCATCTGGCTCATCCAGCTTGATTTTAAACTGGGGGTTGGTCCAGTATGTTGCTACAGAGACCAAAATATAAATATAGATAAAATTGTCAGAGTTGAGAAAGGAAAAGAAAGCAGAATTTCTCTTGTGTGAACTATGCTCACTCTCACTAGAGCTGCAGGGAATAGCTCTTAGGTGTGAACCTAATTGTGATTTCCAGCCTAGCCTTCCCATTATATTTATACAGTTAATGCTTCTTTCTCCCACCTCTGCCACATGCTGTGCTATATATTTATTGCAATAAGCAAAACCCAATTGAACTACTGAGAGATATTTCCTAAGGGAGCAATAAGCAGCTGAGAACAGCTATGGTCATTAACCCCAGCCAGTTATTTATCCACAAAAGTCTATTACTGGCAAATCCTGTAGGACATAATGCTCAGATGTGGCTGAAAAAATTAATCTTTTTTTTTTAATCTTCTAACAAATTTAAACTGCTACTATGTCCAGGCCCATATGCTACTGTGGCTTTGTGGTTCCACATTACATACAAAAGTACAGCATGATTTATCAGGGAGCCAAAAAGGAATTTTGTTGTTATCACTTGATATCCAGATGTTAGCAAAATGCCCAATAATATAAGATGTGAGATATATATGCAGAGAGGATTTATCTATGGTGGTGGGGCTCCAGTGGTCACTGCATATTACTTATTAGTTTATTTCATAAGATCAGATTGAGGATCAGCCTACTTAGAGTCTGAAGTCTGAAGGCATTGTTACCTTGGCAGCAATAATGTCTCCAGGGACAATGCTGCAATTTTTGCACCTTTTCCCCATTTGAAGGAGGTGATAGCAGTTGTTTTAAGTAAAATGGGTGTATTTGTCCTATCAGCATGATTTTGATCTGATTATCTTGGCTGTATTTGCCTACTTCTGCTCCAGAGTGTGAAGAACTTGACAGAGTTGGATGAAATAAATAAAGAGAACCAGATCTGTAAATAAAGATTCTGGAATCTTAAGGCAGCTGTATAGAAATTAAATGCTCTGGAAATATATGGTTTTATTTCTTTTTTGCATTCTGTGTAACATATGCATACTCTGCTAGTTACAGCAGTTTTCTAGATTCCTGAAGACCTAAGAGCTACTTTGGAGAGCTGTTTTGCATAACATTACTAAATAATAAATAGAAAAATAGAAGAAACCACTAAGACAATAGTTCTGAAAGATAAAACTATTTCTTTTGCAGAATTGCCTTAAAACAAAAGGACATAATGACAAAACCCTCACAATTGCTAGACAAAGTCAAAATATAGTTTAATACCCAAGAGATTTTAAGAGGGAAATATTTCATACTCAAAGCTCAAAAATGCATGTTCTAATGCACATTAAAAATAAGCTAACATGGCACTCTGGAAAATGTTCTCCATTGCTTATGTTTATTGTCTTGTTTTCTTCATTATAAAATACCATGTTTCTTCAAATAATTGAAACCAAAGTATAGAATTTGATGGGATTAGCCCAAAACTAGGATTGACACAGTGCCCCTGATTCAGATGTTAATGGGAAAATGTATCCTTTGGGAAATTATAAAGTCTGCACTTAGATATCATAGCCATAGCTAGGTCCAGATGGACATTGTGCCATTTTCCTCTTTGCACATGAAAAGAAGAAATAGAACGTTTCCTTTCATGGTTTGCAAGAAACCATTCTGTGTCTACATCCAGGAAACTGGGATTTGTACAAAAACTAGTTAGACAGGAAACTAGGATATCAAACTAAGATATTTCTTAACAAACTGTTATCGTTTGCACAACAGTTCTATATTAAGGCAAGCCAGAATAGTGGTGGTTTGTAAAAGCTGCTTACAGAAGCTTCAGATATTCTTCAGTCATATGTGGACAGAGGTAGAAGAGTTATAATGGCATGCTCTCTTAAGAGCAAAATGTGGTTTGTTGCAGTGACATTGCTGGTATCCTCATATGTATTCTCTGCTATCTCCTGGCAAGGTACTCCATGGCTGACAACTGGCAAATCAGGCCAACAGCTGGAACAATTCACCTGGTACAGGTTCCCTGCTTACCCCAAGTCATGCCTGAAGTCTCACCTGGTCAGGGTCTTTATGAGATTCATTTGTGAAGCATCAAAAAAGTTGGCAGTGTCATGAGGCATTAGAAAAGACTTAGGGAGGTATTTTTCCATATGGCCTTTCCTCAGGTGCCCACAGCCACAGCCCAGTCGAAATTAAATGCCTGGCCAGCCAGTGGCCACTGATGACTTCACTGGACTTCAATCATGAAAGAAATCATCTACGACCTTGGCAGGATGATGGAAGGTTGAAGGGTAAGGCAAAATGGCTGATCTTCCAATTTATTGCCCAGAAGCTGGGCCTTTTGCTGGTTCAGTGGCAGCATTTGGCTAATAATGCAGTGAGAAAGTCACTTTGGATTTTAAGACCTGGAGTCAGGCTTAGCAAACCTCTGCCTTGCTGTTGTATCAAAGTGACTGTATTCAACCATGGCTTAATAAGTTAATTCAGTTACCTGGGTTTGCACAACACACTGAACCATAATCACACCAGCTGGTTCACATAACAGACCATAAATTAGATAACCCCATGTTACCCCAGTGTATTAGGCAAACACAGCCAATGTATCCAAAACCTTTATTATCTGCAGATGTAAATGCCATTATTAAAATAATATAGACATTTTTCTCTACCTTTGACTTCTCCTCTTCAAGAGTGTCATTCAGCTATCTCTGAATGCTATTCCACAAAAAATACAGCATCATTTTCATACTTTAATACTTTATGAACTCTAGCAAATATTCAAATATTTGAGGCTGAAGGATTTGATCATTATACCATGATGAAAGCCATAAAGCTTTCTAAAACTATTTATTTATAGCAACGGACTTAACCAAGGATTGGCTGTTAACAACCAACATCATATTTTTATAATCCTAGAGAAAACTGTTTCCCACTTGAAATCATTTTAAAATGTTTAATTAACACACCATGTTGCTATTCATTTTAATTATATATTTGAGTTAGAGATCCAAACAGCAAAAGATTTAGAGATTAATTTAGCATTCGATAAATAAAAATGAAACTGCTTTGCTAGACTGTTGAAATATGCAACTATTGTGTTACATGTTGTGTTGGTAAAATGTTGGTAATTTTTGACTGCAATTATAACCACATCAAAACTGAATGGTGTGTAGAAATAAAACTTAAACACTTTGATATATGAGAACAAATATGGAAAGGAATACAAATAGCGCATATGAACGGTATGGAGTCTCCTAAAAGTCAGGTTGTATAAAATCCCTGAGTAATCAGGAGTGAGTCAGGATACAATGCTATATGCTGTGAACCTTCTCCATTACCAATCACTGCCAAAGTTTAGACTGCAATCATAGATCTCGATAGTTATCATACATCATTGTGTATTGCCATACCTCCCAAAAGAGTTATCTTATCAATGACACAAAGGCTGGATGAACCATGTCAGCAGGCTGGTCTTTTCCAGCCAAAAGAGGCAGATATATAAAGCACTAGGAAATTCAATTTAAAGATTCAGGCAGCAGGATTCAGCACCTTACTCCCTATGTCACCAGATCTGCTTGCAAGCTTAAGGAATTACTGGCTTAACCTTTTGTATGCACCACCATTATTCTCATAATGGCCAGAGGACATTGTGCAGCTCACCAGCTCAGCCAAATCCAGTAAACTTCAGAGATGTTAGAGACTTACTCTGCTTAGCAACAACTCAAACTCTTCCCCTTGCTTGTTTGCTTCAAAACAGAGTCATCAGTCTGTTTGTAACCATATTTCTTGCCAACCTCAGCAACCATATCATCTGCCTCTTCCCCTTGGATGCCAACATGTCTGCTCTTAACTGGACCCCAAAGAATGATCTGAACTTGGCCAAAGCCCTAAAGTGGGCCAAAAAACCATTGAATGCCCCCTGCAATAAAAACAATTTGCATCCATTTCAGGAAAGCAGTAACTCTGGAACAGCTATTTATGGACAAGGACATTCCAAGGCAACAGCAGAGAATGCCACTCCTTGGAACTAACTTTCTTATCTCTCATACTAAAAGCATTAAAGCAATACTTCATTCATTGATTTAAATTACCACAGTGATCCCCCAGGGAGATCACCAATACAATCTGCATTCATTTCTGCAGTACAAAATTGATTTTTGTATACCTGGATAATTTTGGCAGCCACCAGCTGTAGAACCACGTTGCCAGTTTCCATTGAATAGAGTCATGTTCCACTTATGAACTTGATTGCAGGTAAGAGTGTCAGGAGACAAGTTGCAGATCTCAAGTCTTGTAAACTGCTTTTGAAAATCTGAGAAGGACATCCTGCCACCACAAAAGCACAGAAGAATACATTATGACTTTAGAACTATGGTCCTTAGCTGGTGGTTTGTATACCACATTGGGGTTCAGAAGTAGTCTAGGTAACACAAGGAAGTCACTTAACTTTTAAGTTTTTAAAACTTCCTGTAAATGATAAATCTAATAACATATGCATTTCCTCCCCAGAACAAATGGACTTTTCTTTCAGCTGGAGTGGTCTCAAGTTCTTTGATACAGTTATTGATAGGATTTAAGATATGAAACTTGAGAACTGCTGATCTAGAATATTGTCACCCCCACAATTCTTCTGTCTATACAGAAATGGCAGGTGGCAGAGACCTGAGGGGTTTCAAAGCTTTGAAATTTGTAGGCATCATGGTCACCACATGCATTCCCAGTCATTCCACTTCTTGAATCTGGCCATCTGGCTGTCCTTAGCTCCAATATCATCCTCTTCCCATTCCCCACAATTGGAAACTGCTTCCCACATGATTTTTCAAGGTCCAAATTGTTGGGTATCCTTGAGTATGGATTGATCAAACCACCCTTCTCTTCTTAGCAGTTGGTTTTGTAGTACTGGCAAAGAGCAGATGGCACTGCCAATTCACCACAGTGAAGCAGCAACAAAAAAGCATAACTGAATGGAGCTGGAATGGTGAATGAGAAGGACCCCACTGGATATTACCCCACTTGCAAGCCTGTGCAATTTGTGACCTGCTATGCTGAAAGCAGCCTGCCAGCTATGAAAAGCAGCTGGCACAGAAACTCTCATTGCTCAAAACTGTCAAAACTCAGAAATGCCTTTAATTTAATGTGTTCCTAAAGGTACCACTCACTATTGGATGTTTCATTTTAAAGTTGTTCACTACGAAGAATGAGGGCAGAACTCCCATTTTTGCCAGGATTGTGAAATATGAGGGAGACTTTTTTTTTTTTTTCCATGCCCACTGCTAGCACAGATACTATTAGCTTCAGGTTTCCATTGGTGCCATTGTGCATTTTCCTCCTGGGGCTAATAGAAGCCATCACGTGGAGGTATGACTTTAATCAGCAATATAGTGTGGCAGAAAAAAATGGTATCTTCCTCTCAGTGTAGTCTTGATAAATATCAGGTCTCCCCATGTCTACTAATAGCAGTTTTAAAATGAAAGATGCAACAGCAGGTGGCATATTTAGCTCCATTTCAATCCATCCCTTCTCATCACTACATATGTGAGGACTACAGCTTTTAAAGCACATTCATCTATCCCCTGCTAAAGACAGATATTTCTCACCAAAATTCTCCATCATCTGCCTGCTTATCCAGAGTATTCTTTTGCTTAGGGTCAATATAATTCCATTCTGGGGCACTGCAAGGATACAAGAAGAGCACACAGTAAGATATGAATCAGGGATGTGTATTAGTGTTTTAAAGCACATCCCTGAAAGCAGTACCTTCTTCTTGCAGAAATTAGTTCTGCCAGGAAGAAAATTAACTTAGTAACATGGGATATACAATAAGGTATTTAAAGTGTTGCATTTTTCCTGAGATGTTCAACTGGCCCAGGAGCACTCATAATGGAAGCATATGTGATTGGAACATAGATATTTAGTTAACAGCACAGGTGAATGATACTATTTAATGCAGTGTTATAACCTCATGAATCAGACATCGATCCCACAACTAATATATTGCAGAAGGACCTTTCTTTTTAATTTTGCATTTCTGTTGTTGCTGGCTGATATGCTAATCAGCAAGCCACATGTGCTGATTTGGTTGTTGTAAACACCTAAAATAACTAGTCACTATTTTGCTGTTCTCACAGTTATATATCAGATTAAAAATGTGAACATATCTAGATCCTAGATTTTCCTTTTGAAAGTAAGCAGCAATCCGAAAATGTACCATCTTCTCCTTCCAGATGCTTTGAAGGGAAACCAAGAATCCACAGCAGGAAGCAGACATTTAGGCTATCAAGTGAAATCTTCTGTACAATGCCTGAGTCTAGTCTAAAGCACCCCTTTACTACTACTTGTTGCCTTTTTATGAATTCATATTTTATCTGAATCCTTTTTTAAGTGTGATCAGAACTGACTACATTTGTTGAAGTGGGATTAATCTGCAGAGTGGAGCAGAACTTTTAATTCTCATGATTTGAAAACTGTTCTTCAGTTAATGCTGCTTTAAATTACATTACTCTTTTTGGCAGCTACATATTACTGACTCATATTCAGCTTACACTCGATTACCATCTCAATAACTTTTTCAGATGCATCATTACCAAGACTAATCTTTTTTATGTTAAAGTTGGTCACAGTGTCTTGATCCTGCAAACAGAGGATTGGGGGGGGGGGATCCTTCCATGACTTTGTAAAGCACCCTTCCAAATGGTTCACACAATCCTACTGGCTGTATTTCTCCCACTCCCAGCTTCAATTTAGGACAGGAGAAACTCACTCTTCCAGTCTGTATGAAGCACAGCCCATCTCCTTATAGCACTTCTCATCCAAAAATGTGTAATCAGTAGTTCTAGAAATGAAATCCCTTTCACAGGCATAATCTTTGCAGCCTTCTAATTCACTTAGAGAATGCTTTTATTCTTTTTCAATCTTCTTTTGTTGATAGGGGGATATCTGAAACCACCACCTCAGTTTTAAGTTTTTAAAGTTTACTTCCTAGAGTTTCCTTCTAGAGCTACTAGCTGTACTTGTCACCATGAGAACGAATAGCTGGCATAATGATTGGAACATTTAGGATCACATTTCCTATCCCAGCTCTCTGAAAAAAATGTATTTCATGAAATCTGGATGACACACATCCACTTCTCTTCCCTGCAGGACAGAGATATCAACCACACTACTTTTCTCTCATTTCTTCAAGAGTTCAACTTCCAGATCCCCTGCCCAACAAAATCTATGGTAGGTTTTGCAATGAAGGCTCAAAACCTGCTTTCACCAGAGCCTAAAAGGAGCTGTTACTTTCAGTATTACAGAATGCCTTCTAAATCTTTTGCCTCTGACAGTTGTTCAGAAACTCTTCATCTTGTCTGATACATGTAGCTACTCAATCTTCCAGCTGTCTTATCTTTTCTCCTAGCAACATTGTCAGTTTGCACTTACTGGAAATGTAGGCTACCTTATCTTCAGGCAGGAAAACAAAAAGAACAATTCTGTATACATTGCAGGTCACCAGCACACAGAGACTTACACATCTATCCTCTCTTTTATTCCTACAGGTATTGTTTCTTCATGGCCAGTTGACTGGTCCTTCTTTCCTCTTATTTCAGGAGTAAGTAACGAGGTGCCCATGGGTACCAATGTATTTCTGAAATATCCCTAGCTGCTCCATCTGACTTTTATAAGGTTATTTTCTTCAAGGAAGAGTAAACAGGAACCTGGCATACTGCAAAGCAAAGCACCAGCCTCTACCATCATATCTATTGGCAAGATTGCCTTGGGTACTACCAGTGTGCTAGAGAGCATCTGGGTGGAAGGCAGGATGCTAGTTCATATTTGGGTAAATGAACATTTTGTGATTTGGCAGAGCTCAGAAGGACAAACATTTTGTGGAAGAAAAGCTGTGAGTGTACCTACCACATGCCTCAAAATTCAAATAGCACCCAAAAGTCCACTAAAGCCCAAATCTCATAGCAGCTTGGGCATTTTCTAGCTCTTACTGTCCATTTGTCTTAAAGAGAAAGTTGAACAGACACCACACACTTCAGATTGGGGTAACAAACTTCTGCTTCTTTTGTTCATTCAGAGTGCTCACTTTTGGGGAACCACATAACCTACTAGACCTGTGTATGCAGGTTCTATTTATTTAGCAGAAAGCAATCACCCAATCACATGCAGTAAGAAATCCATCAATCAGATTTGGAGAGAAACCAATCCAGCAGCTTACAGGAGATACTCCTTTTATCCCATAGAGCTGATTGCATGGCCAGCCAGCTCATATAGCCTCTGAAATGCATTCTCCATTTGTTTGTTTGTTTGTTTATTCATTCATTTTGTTAGCTGCTTCAGTCACTGAAACAACTGTAGGCAGTGTACAAGAAATCAGGATTAAAAACAGAAATATAATAATATATGAAAATGAAGTGCTTTGGGAAACAACAATGCCATAAAATTAATAATCAACCAGGGTTACCCATCATTCTGTCCCAGGGCCTACCAGGAAAGACAGGTCTTTATGGCTCTTCTGAAGGCCAGTAGAATCATGGCCATATGATTTTCCACCTGTAGAATTCTTTTGGTAAATTCTTTGTTCTCCTTCTTTGCCTACTCTGTGAACTTCCAGATATTATTTGATATATAGTCAGTTCTTCAGCTTCTGAGTGGAAAGTGTTTCTGTGGCCTATAGCCCAGTCTTTATACTGCAAGCCAACTCATTTGCATTTAGTGTGTGACAAGTTTAAAAAATGCAAACTTGAGTGATTTCCCCAATACAAATAACAGCTTTAGATAAGCAATTTTTGTCAGAGCAGCCACATGAAAGGAAGGGTTAAACTCTCCCTCTCTGCCTGATGCAATTCCAGTAATTATCCTGGCAGCTGCTAATTTGATTTTTTTTATGAGCATATTAAATGCAAATATATCCTTAATGTCATGTCTAATTTGGCCCTGTGTTTATTTGAGCTTGGGAAGAATCCTCTTAAAAAGATTTGTTTTATCATCTGTCTCTGCTCCTAGCAATGAGTTTCTTGCTATTATCCAGAAATAGCGAGACATGCCTGGTATAAGTTGATAAATAGTCCTGCTCATTTACTAATATTACATTTTCCCTTATTGGATGTCATTTGATTTATTGACTTTTCAAATGTAATTTTTGAGGAGTTATAGGGAAAGGCCAGAAAGAATACCAGAGAAGTTAATATATTCCTTTTGTCCTCACTTTCAGCATAATGTTCAACAAAATTACATGAATATCTTCCCTACAGTGAGATGCATAAACTCTATTTGCTTTTGAAACCTTTGTACCTGACAGTTGAGTGGATTCAATGACTGAGTCCACATCATGATTTGTTGAATGATTGACAACTGTTGCATTCACATAATACTCTATTCCATAAACCATGGTTTACAATTGCTGAGTTTCCACAATTTGTTCTCCCCAAACCAAAGAAACCACATGAAGTTAGTGCAGCGTGTAGCCATAGTCGATATGGGACTGAAGTAGAGAAACATAAATTTAAATCCTCCCTTGGTCACGACATACTTTGGATGTCTGTCTAACTTGTAACACAAGTCAGCTGTAAGATTCATATGGTATCCCAAGTATACTTTGTTGAAGACACTGAAGGACAGATGGGAAGTTTGTTTATAATAATAATAATAATAATAATAATAATAATAATAATAATAATAATAGAATGAGTAATATTTCATACATAATGTCACTCTGCAGTGAGATGGGCGGTAACCAATTCGAAATGAATAATCACAAACATTAATAAAGAAAATGATGTTAAAGTGATGATCCAGGACAAAAGGGAGAAAATCAGTAATAGGAATGTACTTATCACTCCAGGCTCCTGTCCATTCCACTTCACCCCATGGATTTCTGATCCTGACCAGTTCCTCCAGCCGGCCACGGTAAGTAACCTGCATTAAACCCCGCAAATACAGTCATAGGATTGAATTATTCTGCACATTGTGTGTTTCCTCCCGCTGCCTTCAGTTATACTGCACTGATTGTATTTCACTAAGAACAAAAAACATACAGTTTGTGATTGTCTGCTGCAGAATGGTTATTACCATGGAATTGAAGACACCAGAAAGTGGAGTTAAAAATGTTGTTATGAGAGATTAAGTATAATCCCTGCAGCAAAATTTTTCCAGAAGGAAGGAAGGAAGGAAGGAAG